TTCGGGAAACTCGTCGGCGGTTACTTTGGAGACGCTGCACCAGCTGGCCGCCTCCTACTTCATCGACCGAGAGAGCACACTGCGCAAACTGCACCACATCCAGATCGCGTCCACCGCCATCAAGGTAAGAAGTACATCAAACGACACATGAACACCAGTGAGGACTAACATCAACACCACAAGAACTGCTACCATTGTGAATGATTCTTGTATCAAAATATCGATACCCTTTGTTTTTTATTAGGTTAAATTTGTTTTGCCCCAGTACGGATATATGGTAAAAAAAAAAAAAAAAAAAAAACAGCTCCAAAGGTAAATAAGCTCCTTTAGTATCCAATTGTAACGCTTTTTGAACCAGAAAGTGGTGCAGTGTTAGCATGCTAGTTGTTGTTAGTATTATTGTGATGACAAAACTCCAGTCTGGCCTCGTGTTGTGATATTTTGCCTATCTTACCTATTATTTATTCTGGTGGCGTCACCTGTTTGTCAAATGGAACAGGAAACTCACACCAACGTTCTTGTAGAGGTGCAAATGTATGGAACAGTAAAATAAAAGCGAAAAAAAATGTCCAAAAGCTTTTTTAAAAATGTTTAAATCATCATTTTAGATCATTTTTCTTGCTCATAGTGGTCCGAAGCAAGAAAAATGATTGACCCAAATCCGATTTCGCCCCTATGCTCCTGTATCTAATTTTTTAACGACAGTCCAAATGACACAGATCCGATTTTTTTCAAATGCGACCCAGACCACTTGGATGTGTGCTCCTAAAACCGATACATATCCGGTCTTTTGACATGCGACTTCAGTCTGAACGGCCAGGTCGCATTCATCCCACCTACACGTCAGGCTCGGAGTCTAGTCAATGGAGGGAAAGCGAGTGGAAAAATTGGAGGGCAGTTTCTGAAATGACTGCCAAAGAATTAACAAAAAATAAAGAACCTGGGAGACAAATACGAGGAGGTTAAAGACTCAAACAAACGAAGCAGCCGTGCCCATTTCACGAAGAACTTGGCTCTATTTTGGGAGACAAGCTCAATGTTTTGGCTACTTCCATAAACACTGAGCTTGCTCGTTGCGTATGACGTCGTTGTGTCCTCCAATGCGCCTGCGGGACACTTTTTGGACATTAAAAGTTCACACTGAAGATCATATACAAGTCACATTCGATTGGAAATGTGAACAACCTCGTAAAAAAAAAATTGGATTTCACAAAAAACATCCAAAATGAGCATTAAGCCCTGCAGTCTGAGCGTAGCCTGAAAACACCAGGATCATGTAGAGTTTAAGTTTCACACTCAGGGACATTCCAAAAGAAACTCTTCATGAAGTCAAACAGATGGCAGATCCTCCACCCGAAAATTTATACAGTTCTTTAAGTGAATTTGGGAGGCAGGTAAATAAGTTAGTATGTAAGTAATAAGATTCAATATCGTACAAAACTCTACCAGCTGTGAACACTGACAGATGGATCTAGTACTTTTAATGAGAGACGTCTGTACCATGGTGTTGTATTTCGTGCTTTGTAGTTAAAAATCCCATTTAGTCTCAGTCCCTTTGCTACAGTGCCATTTAACAAGCTTCATTTGATTTTCGACAACGTTTGAATTTGGGGGAGAGTAATCTTACAAGGCAAAATCAGAGCGAAATCAAAGAGGCTCTTGTGCTTTATCCTTTTTATTCCTACTTCAAAATGTCTCCTCTGCGTCTCAAATGTTCATCAAAAACAACATTCGCGGTTTTACTCGGAGATAGCGCTTACCTCTCGGAGCCATCTGGACTGGCTTTACTTTTGCAGGGAGACTGTCCAAGATTGGTGAAATGACACTTTGTGCGAAATCGCTCGCTTCAAGCAGAATTACTGACAGGCGACAGTGGAGGGAGCTTCATTTTTGTGTTTTTTTGGAGGACACTTTTTCCTCGTATCAATCTCGTGCTACGTTTAGTTAGAAAGATTAAAGAGAGGGTGTTTTACAAAATGGACTTTTTGATTGTTCCCTCATCAAAAACAAGCCTGAAGAGGTTTGAGATGACATCCGTGCAGGTTTGAATCTTGTAATCTCTCCCACAAGCCTATGTCCCCCCTGTTCCCACATGACAATTCTCCATAAATATACAAAAAAAAAAAAACGATACAAAACTGTAAACAGCAACTTGACAAACTTGAGTTTCATTAACGCTGACTGTGTTGTGATAGCGCTCTGTAGGGGGAGTGACTTTGCACAGAGAGCAAAGGGAGGGGGAAAAACAAAACGTCAAAAAAACATTTCAATATGTCGCTTTTTGGCAATTATAGCATTTTCAAAGCAATAAAATGTAACATGATGATCTAAATGTCATGTGTTGGCACTTAATATACACATTTCATAATCTACACCAGGGGTCTTCAACATTTTTTAGGCCAGGGACCCCCAAACTGATGGAGAGCTGGAGTTTTTTTCTTTTTTTAAGTGTAGCAAGTTGTATTTTCATATTTTAAGAACAAAAAAATCATATTCCGCTGATAGATAATTTAACTTGTCAAGTGGAATTTACTCAAATCATGATAAAACTTTCTTAATTCAAGTCATCTTAACTTGGCAAGATTTAAATTTTTTGCAGTGCATGTGACACATTTGATATTTTCACAGTTTTGAGCATTAAAATGTTTTTGTTTCATATTCACTTTGCACAAGAAGTGGTTTAACAAAGACTTTCAGTATCACAGCCACGATTTAGCCTTTATTTTTATTGAATGGTATCGAATCCATTTGAAATATATCGAATCGAATCGTAAGTTCACTGTATCGAAACATGTACCGTATCGTGGCCTGTGTATCGAGGTATGTATCATATCTGCATCTTCTTAATGATATCCAGCCCTACATTAAACGATACGATATATCGACTTCATAATGAGATTAATATTGCATGTTTGTGGACCCAATCCCAAATAATGATCAGATTTAGCTTTTGTAGATTTGATTTTGGATCTATCGAGCTCTATAGGCGCCTGCCCTTCATCAGATCTGACCTGTAACCAGTGTTGGGAAGGTGACTTTTAAAATGTATTCCCCTACAGATTACAGATTACATACCCCAAAATGTAGTTTGTAACGGAATCCATTAAATTACTTAAAGTGAGTAACGTAATCTGATTACTTTGGATTACTTGATTTGCTGTAGAGAAGCAAAGACGAGGAAATCTTCACCTAAATGTTTCGTTTGATAAAAGAAAATGAAAAGGCCGAGTCTTTCCTTAACCAGATTAAAAATATTATTGATAGAAGACGAGGAGACATGGTCCGAGCGGCATGTTTTAGTCCTGTTAAATCCTGTTTTAGACCTGGTTTAGACCTGGTTTAGTCTTGGTTTAATCCTGGTTTAGTCCTGGTTTAGTCCTGGTTTTAGACCTGGTTTTAATCCTGGTTTAGTCCTGGTTTATCCTGGTTTAGACCTGGTTTAGACTTGGTTTTAGACCTGGTTTAGTCCTGGTTTAGTCCTGGTTTTAGACCAGGTTTAGTCCTGGTTTTAGACCTGGTTTAGTCCTGGTTTTAGACCTGGTTTTAATCCTGGTTTAATCTTGGTTTAGTCCTGGTTTAGTCCTGATTTAGACCTGGTTTAGGCTTGGTTTTAGACCTGGTTTAGTCCTGGTTTTAGACCTGGTTTAGTCCTGGTTTTAGACCTGGTTTAGTCCTGGTTTTAGACCTGGTTTTAATCCTGGTTTAATCTTGGTTTAGTCCTGGTTTAGTCCTGATTTAGACCTGGTTTAGGCTTGGTTTTAGACCTGACCTGGTTTAGTCCTGGTTTTAGACCTGGTTTAGTCCTGGTTTTAGACCTGGTTTTAGTCCTGGTTTTAGTCCTTGGTTTAGTCCTGGTTTTAGTCCTGGTTTTTAGACCTGGTTTAGTCCTGGTTTTAGACCTGATTTTTAGACCTGGTTTAGTCCTGGTTTTAGACCTGGTTTAGTCCTGGTTTTAGACCTGGTTTAGCCTTGGTTTTAGTCCTGGTTTAGTCCTGGTTTTAGACCTGGTTTAGCGTCCGGCAATGAGTGGAGTTACAGAGAAGAAAAAAAAAAAAAAAGGGATATAACCCAAAATGTGAAAACAGGAAAATACCTCTGTGTAATCCATTTATTTCAACAAAGTAACTGTAATCCAATTACCACTCACTGAAACAGTAACTGTAACTGAATACAGTTACTCACAATTTGTACTCTGATTACGTAACTCTGGTACATGTAATCTGTTACTCCCCAACACTGCCTGTAACTTGAGAATCATAAAAATCTGTCACACTTTGAACAGCAAATTTCACCATAAAGATACAGGATAATCCGCTCTTTTGCTCAAGTTTAAACTGAAGATCTTCGATAACACGTGTTGTCATGTGAACGCAACCTCTTCCTCATTGTCCTTCTTTTTTTTTTTTTTCTCTTTTCTTTATTTGAACACAACACTGCGGTTGAAATCGCTCACTCCTCGCGCTCGTACGGTGAATACAGTAGTACTCTGGACTGTGTGACAGACAAGGGGGGCCGTCTGAATTATGTGGTGAGAAACGAGAGCTGCAGAGGAGGCAGAGTAAACAGAGACAGAGGAGACAAAGCACCCTCTAAAGCACTGTTTCTCCAACTGTACAAAGCACACGCTGCACTTTGAGCTCTGCTTTAATTCACTTAGAAAACAGATAGAAGGTTATGGTTCAGTAGGATATTTTCACGATATCCGTTTCGACATTTATTACTTTTTTTTTTTTTTTTTTTTTTTTACGGAGGCTTACAAAATTGTGAATATGCTTTTAAAATCCTTGAAAAGCCTTTGGCACTATTCTGATATGAAGAATTAAGATGTAAAAGTGCTTAACAACAGCTACTGCTTCATGTAAACTGCGCTGACAACAGCAAAGCATCATGGTCTATGTAGGGCGGCAGTAGCTCAGTTGGTAGAGCATTCGCCCACTGATCTGAAGGTTTGGCGGTTCGAATCCAGCTCTTGACATAAACATCACAGGTTGAGTGGTCAGATCCACTGACCCACAGGTTGGCTGGTGTGATTCCAGCTCCCACAGATGAATGCTGCCGTTGTGTCCTTGGGCAAGACACTTAACCCACCTTGCCCACAGTGTCTGCGTACACTGGTGTATGAAT